TGGAAAACATTATATACTTCTTAATAATTTAGGATTTGTGAGGAGCTTGTTATAATTCCAGTTGCCAAAGGTCTGTATATAGGGTGACCATGTGATTTATTGCCGAACTGGGACCCATTTGAAAGGAGTGGTGCTTTTAGTAATATGCCATGGCAACAGGCATAATACTGGGTTTGTCTTAAGCCAGCCAGAGTATATGGCCCACGAGAATATCTGATTACTCTGTACTTCCTGGTAGTTGGAGGATAGGATATGGATCGGGAGCAGTAGGATGTTATTTAGGAAAGCAGGTCTGTGGACGGTCCTAAATGCCAGGTTAAGGATTTAGGATTTTATACTGTAGACAGAGAAAAACCCTTGGAGGTTTTTTTGTTTGTTTGGTTTTATTTTTATGTTCTTTTGGCATATAATTTGATGTATGCAAAGCAGCATTTGGAAAGATTAGTCTGACCTCTGTGGGCAGGTTAGATTGAAGGGAAACACTCAATTCAGAGAGTGTCGTAGTAGTTCCCACTTAGGGTATATTTGAATAACAGCCGCTTAAATGGGCTTCATGTACAAAGAAAATGTGTTAATTTGTTTTTATAATTATGAACAGAGAAGCTTTAATAATTCGCTTCCAATAGGTATTATTCTTACTGACTTAGTTCATACTTCTGAAGATCCTGTTGGATTAGTGTCTTATTCAGTTAATGTTTTCACAAAAGAGGAACAGTTCTGGGATTTAGCAGTGAGAGCCAGAGCATTTTGTATGGGCTAGCATTATAGCATGCACATATATGTATATGTTAATATTGTCACAGTTAAAATTTGACTTAACACTGAGAGTGCTTACTCAAAAAATCTTTACAAAATTTATTTCTAAAATAGTCTTTCATCATATAATTGGTGTTTCATTGTATCTTGTTTCAACTTGATGTCTATCAGGAAAGAATGTTAATTTCACAGTATCTTCCATTCCTCTAGTGCACGTTTTGCCTTTTTCTATTCCCATCCTATGGAATAGGTTGAACTTTTGAGAAAGGAGAGTTATTTTTGACCAGGAGAACCAGACAGATCTCCATGGAAGAAGAAATCAATCTTTGAAGGATTGATTATGCAGTAGCAGAGAAGCCGACACTCTGGGTAGAGGAAACCTTGTATGCAAAGAGATGAGGAGGGGTGCCTAGGTGGCTCAGTCGGTTAAGTGTCCGACTTGTGATCTCCACTCAGGTTATGATCTCATAGGTCGAGATCTCGTGGGTCATGTAGTCTAGCCCACTTGGTACTCTGCACTCAGCAGGGAGTCTGCTTGAGATTCTCTCCCTCTCTATCCCTACTCCCACCATGTGTGCTCTCTATTTCAAATAAGTAAATCTTAAAAAAAAAAAAAAAAAAGAGAGAGAAGGGGGAGCAGAAAAATTGTGGGATGTGCTTTGGGAAAAGCAACTGGCTGCTGACTGGCTTCTGAAATGCTGTGGAAATAAGAGACTGACATGGAGGTTACAGGGAAATTGAAGGAAAGGAAAGCTTCTTAGTTCCCAAAGACATATCAATTTTTAAAAACCTTCTAATGGAAGAAAATATTCTTTACTTGTTGGAGAAGCGCCTATTTAAAGCTAGCCTGTCAGCTTTTTTTTTTTTTTAACGAAGTAGGGTACAATATTTGACATTTCACTGATATGCCTTTTATATAAGATCACATCACTTGATACATCTCAGATTGAGATGTTTAATATTTCAAAATCCACAAGAAATGCATGTGGATGGAATTATCTATTGACTTCTAGGTGACTGGAGATGCTTCTCAGTTTTCTTGGCAAGGAAAAGAGCTAATGAACTGAAGAAAATGACCAACTTATAAAGTATAATAAGTTTACATCTGTATATTTACATATATTGTCTAAATAGTCCATCATTAGAAGCTAAAATTCTCCATGTCTAAGATCTCCTATTCAAAATGTCTTTATAGATTTTTGTTGTTTCTTTTAAAGAAAATAAATTTAAAAGTTTACTTCAAGTCTTAATATAAAAAAATGAATGATTATACTCCTTCTCTTCCTGGTCTAGAGCTACTTGTCTTTATTTTACTTAAGCACTAAAGCATTTGACATAAAGATGTTTCCCTGGGAGAATTTTGTTTAGGCTTAGGGCTGACATGAAAAGAAACAATTTGTCAGACTAGTGGAGCTTGCTAACAATTTAAATAAACAACCTGTCTTTCCCTTTATACTGCATATTAATAAAAATGTTAATGCTGAAACACCTCTTTTACACCCTACAGGGTGGAGAGATGATTGGGTCAGAGACCATTTTCTTGCTTTGGGACCTCATCAACACATCTGTTAGCTGAATGTGTCTTATAAGTGCATGCTTATTAATAAGCACGATGTTTCTAAACTAATAGGTATTTAATACAACCCAGTTTGATTGTTGTCTCATTTGTGTTATCACCTGGCATGTATATATTTTTGCCATGTAAATATTTCAAAGTAAAAAGCACTTAAATTTAGAATATACTTCTCTGTAAACAGCTTTGATGGGTGACAACTAACTCTTCAAAAATGGGCTTCCTTGGACTATACAACCGAAGATCATTATCTGTATTTGACGTTTTTCCCCCCTCTTTATCATCACTATCTGAAGAGCTTCTCCAGGTAGAGCATAACATGCCTTCTGCATTTGTGCCCTCAGTACCTAGTAGCTACTCCATAAATGACTGTCAAGTTATTTAATGACTTGACTTTGATAATGACCAACTTTGTTGCTTTATGTATTTTTGCATCACCTTCTTGAATTTTTCAATGCAATTCACTCTGAAATCTTGTATCAGTATAATTGGCTTTGTTAAAAACAAAACAACAGGCCCAAAATGGAGTTACTTATGCTAATAAGCCCCATGTTACCAAACTTAGAATTATAGTTTTGATTCTCCCAGAAATGAAATTTTAATTAATTAATTTTTTAATTAGCATATAATGTATTATTTGTTTCAGGGGTACAGGTCTGTGAATCATCAGTCTTACACAGTTCACAGCACTCACATAGCACATATCCTCCCAAGTGTCCATCACCCAGCCACCCTGTCCCTTTAACCCCCAGCAACCCTCAGTTTGTTTCCTAGATTAAGTGTCTTACGATTTGTCTCCCCCACCCCAGTCCCATCTTGTTTCATTTTCTCCTCCCTCCCCGCCACGAGCCCCCACCCTGCCTCTCAAATTCCTCATATCAAGGATATCATATGATAATTGTCTTTCTCTGATTGACTTTAGAAATGGAATTTTAAAACAGTCAACAAGGAAATGCCTGGTCCATAGTAGTTCACTAATATGCCTCATAGACCTCTGGAATCCCTGAAAGGAAAGTGACTTTGCAATAACCCACTTTTTTTTTTTTTTTTTTTTGACTAGTAAATCTTCCTTTTTCCTGCTCACTTCTGCCTTTCATTTCATTTTATACAGGTCCTTGGAGCTCCTTTTCTCTCTGTTAGATTGGATGCTGCCTGATTAAAATTGATTTTTGCTCAAATGAATTCTTAAAATTTTTAATATGCCTCAGTTAATCTTTCAACAGATTGCACAGCTGGTCATACACTGATGAGGGAAAGATCTGTTAGTTGAGATATAGATACTGAGGGAATAATGACTAATGAGGGAATCACATCTTTCTAGTTAATGTTTAAAGTGTTAAAATAATGAAATAAGTTGTATATGTCAATATGTTCAGAGATTTTTAACTTAGCTAGTTTACTTTTAGCAGAGTATAATTTATTGGTTGCTAGCAGAAATGGTAGTCCACTATTGGTTGCATGATTATGGTAACTTGAAAATAAGACTAGTGCTATTTGGCTTTTTCTAAGAAAATAATAAATTAATAGAAATATTTCAAATAGCTGTGCTTGTTTACATGCCAACATCAACATGGCTCTTTATATCATTCAGAAATTGAATTGTTGGCGAAGTAGTCACTTTCTGAGTTATAACAGTTGTGACTACTAAGGTGTCTGTGAAACGGGTGGGCACAGGGGAGGTCTTCAGTCTCTTGTCAGGGCCTAACTTAGTTGTCACTCCGTAGCCGCAGTTCAGTGAATGGATTTCCATAAACACACGGGGTGTTAAAGGTGGAACCTAAGAATAAAATACACTAAGTATTACTTTTTAAATGAAGTGAACTGTTGCTAGATTAGTTTATCTTTTCTTTATTTTACAGATGGCAAACTAATACTTTCTTTGATAAACTTGAACTTTGGGTTCAATGTTTTGGAAGTAGAAAATTCGTATACTCTTTTTAAGAGCCTCTTACTTAACACATTGTTATCACTAGTATGTCAGATGAGGCAGAAAAGGCTTTTGGTTCACAACTTGAAGTCTTTCTTGAATTCTTCTCTTTATTGTTTTGTTTTATCTTAGATACATGGTAGGGATAGAGTCAGCAGACTTAGCTTTGGTTTTGTATTCTTTCCAAATAGATAATAATACAGTAAATTTTTTCTTGCTGCACCATAAATTTGTTGCGATATTAATTTAAAAGAATGAATCAGTTCTTAATTTCTTAATTTAGAAATAATTGCTTTTGTGTATTTGGAAATATAGGAAGTTTTATTTGACCAGTTTCTAGGTTTAGAAGTTAGTACTTCTGGGGTACCCTGGTGGCTCAGTGGGTTAAGCGTCTGCCTTCGGCTCAGGTCATGATCCCAGGATCCTCGGATCGGGCCCCACATCAGGTTCCCAGATCAGAGGGAGTCTGCTTCTTCCTCTCCCTGCCTCTCCCCCTGCTTGTGCTCTCTCTCTATCTCCTACTCTGTGTAAAATAAATAAAATCTTAAAAAAAAAAAAAATTCTTCTATTGTGTTGATCTAGTGAAGGGTTAGAATAATAATAAAGATAAAACTAAAACAATTGAGTGATTTTGTAAATAAATGGAATCAACTTAATAAATTTTCATTTTCTTTTTATTAAAGTTTCTGCATTATTTGCCTTTTATGGAAACATTCATTAATTTTGCATTTTTAAAATCTACAGGTAACCTGGGTTTTTACTCCTGTAACAACTGAAATAACAAGTCTTGATACAGAGAATATAGATGACATTTTAAGTAAGTACCTTGATATTTTTAAAGTACACTTCTTTATAAAGAGCTAGTTTGTATACAAAAACAAAGTTAAATTTCAATTACAAGAACAGCTGAGGAGCTGGCATTTTGATTAGCTTCATGGTTTCCTGAATTAAGAAAGCATTTTGGTTTTGATTTGTAGTAAAATTTAAAATGTGTAAGTCTCTTTTCCTGTGTTAAAAATAAACTTTCATATAAATAAACTCTGTCAGGGCCTAACTTAGTTGTCACTATGTTATAACAAATGTTATATTTCTTTGCCTTGTCATAAATACCACTGATACAAAGTTTTTCACTAGAGCTTACTTAGAGGCTAGCAGTTCCCACTGTGCGATACTAAATGTTCATGATCTTAGGACATGGTCTAGAAATATTTTGTCTTCTTTAACTTTTAACTAATTCACCGACTCTGACCTTTTTTATTGTCATTGGTTCAGTTAACTTAAATAAGTGTTTTACTGAATCCTTTGTTTGCTGACAGTGAGATTGTGAATACAGTTAACTTGGAGGCGGGTAACATTTCTGTTTTTAAAAATAGTAGAGGGAAGGTAAACACATGGTTGATAGAAAAATCATAATTTAGGAGATTTAAGAAAACGTAAAATCCATAAACGATTTCTTCTTTTTTTTTTTTTTTTAAAGCACTCCATTTTATCCACGGTTGTAAGCAGAACTAAGCCAAAAATAAGAAAAGTAAAAGGAGTTATTCTTTTATGTTCTTGGAACTGGTTTTAAATGCTAAAAAGTCTATCCCACATTCTGGGATCTCTTTAGAGCCGTGATTCCGTAACCTTTAGCATGCAAGAGTCACGTGGAGGGCTTATTAGTATCTATAGTGCTAGACCTGGTTCTAAGTTTCTAACAGAAACTGCTAACCCCTACCTGAGAATTTGCATTTCTGTAAGTTTCTAGCTGCTGCTGGTGCTTCTGGTCCAGGGAGTGCATTTTGTGAGCCACTGCTTCAGAGTGCAGAAGCAGGTGGATAAAAACTGCTTTGAAGGTAAAAGAGGAAGAAGAGAATTGAAACCCACAAATCATTCTCCTTTCATTTTTCAAATTCTAGAATATCTTTATGTTTTATTTTTGTGAGTACTTGAGTTTAGTTTCTCTATGAAGTTTAAGCAAAAGGAACAAATGTATCTTTCTCATGACTTCACATCCTTATATGCAAACGATGCTGTTATTTTTGCAACAGAGAAGAGCTGTTTAATGGCTAGGAACCAGAATGTGTGCATGTTATGCAGCATTATTAGTTGTAGATCACTTGTTGCAACGAGGTGAGACATCTGAACTTCAGAAATAGCTTAGTTACACAGGTCTCTTCTGTGAAATAGAATTTTCTTGCAGAGCCAGTTCTCAGTTATTCATGTATATGGGAGATCAAAACATAGATTATCAAGGGGTACCTGGGTTGCTTAGTCAGTTGATCCTCTGGCTCTTGATTTCAGCTCAGGTAATGCTCTCGGGGTCATGAGATCGAGCCCTGTTTTGGGGCCCACTTAAGATTCTTTCTCTCCTGCTCATGCTACTCCCCATCCCCAGTCACACTCGCGCTTTCTCTCTTAAGAAAAAAAAAAAAAAAAAGGATTATTCAACTCCAGAGCATCCCACCGCACTTACAATGAGTGTAGGCTATTGAGTAGTTTACTTTCCTGATCTGGCTTCGATTCCCCTTTTGTTTTATATTCGTTCAGTGAAGTTATAAAGATGGAGGATATAGAGAAAGGGCTCAGGGATTCCCACAAATTATATAATCTGTCTGTGACTCTGTGTATGGGTTTCTGAGTGAGAGGTAACTTAATTGTTAACTGTGTTTTTAGCAGGCCTTTACATAAATGAGAAAAAGACCATGATGGAAACCATCTCTTTGATTAATGTCGGTTATGTGGACACAATTAACTTGGATTGTTTGGTTTTGTTTTTCAATTTCAGACAATGCTGATGTTGCTTTAGTAAATTTTTATGCTGACTGGTAAGTAGTAATTTTATTTTTGTTTTTTTTGCAGTAGGGGGTGAAGTTGCATTATTTAGTTTTTTTTTTTTCTTTTATCTTGCTACATGTGAATTTTTCTTTGCTAGAAGGGATGAAGGGGAAGCCTTTTTCCTATGTGACACAATATTCCATATACAAAGTCAGTTAAGGTTCAGTCACAAAGTGAGCAGCTTAATTTCATGATCATTTGTATTTTAAGAGAAATACAGATCTGATTCCATTATCCCACATCTTAAAAGCAGTAACAGAAACTCAAATCCATCCCCTCTACCCCACTCAAATCCATCCCCTCTACCCCCAATACATCTTTCCGTCTCTCTCTCTCTCTCTTTCTCTCTCTCTCTCTCTCACACACACACACACACACACACACACACACACACACACACACACATTTTAATTCTGTATTTTTCCTAAGGAAGTAGGACAGTATTTGGAGGTGAGGATGTGGGTATGGTGAGTTTAGAAGGAAATTTCTTGTTGACACTTTTTTTTTTTTAAGTAGAGTGTGAATTTATTTATTTATTTATTTATTTATTATTATTATTATTTTTTTGTAAACATATAATATATTTTTATCCCCAGGGGTACAGGTCTGTGAATCGCCAGGTTTACACACTTCACAGCACTCACCTTAGCACATACCCTCCCCAATGCCAATAACCCCACCCCCCTCTCCCAATCCCCCTCCCCCCAGCAACCCTCAGTTTGTTTTGTGAGATTAAGAGTCACTTATGGTTTGTCTCCCTCCCAATCCCATCTTGTTTCATTTATTCTTCTCCTACCCCCTTAACCCCCCATGTTGCATCTCCACTTCCTCATATCAGGGAGATCATATGATAGTTGTCTTTCTCCGATTGACTTATTTAGCTAAGCATGATACCCTCTAGTTCCATCCACGTCGTCTTGTTGACACTTTTTAAACATGTGTCTTCTACTACTTCTAGGAAGCCTTTGTTCCTTCCCCTGTCTGAATCAGATTCTCCTCTTTAGTGTTCATATAGTACTGGATACCACTTTCTTTTTCTTACTACATTATTTTGTCTTTTATGTTTGTGCAAATCAACAGTGAGGGCAGAGATAATGTTTTAGCATTTCCAGCCTCTAAAACCCCTGGCGTAAACATAGTAGATGTTAAAGAATGTGACATGGGGATGTGTAGAAGGGAGCTTGAATTGGAGAGAAGTTGGAAACTCTCACATAATCCTTATTCCTAGACTATCTTATTTGACCCTTTAAGGCTTATTAGCTACTTGTTACCACCACCCTGCTTCAGGCCACAGTCCAGCTTACCTAGACCCTTGTGACAGGCTCCTTATTTATTTTCTGTGTGTCAAGTCTTATGTGTCTCCATTCTGTTCTCTGTAAAGTAAGCCAGAATGGTCTACCTAAAGTGCAAATTGAATAAGGGTATACCTCATCTTAAAGCCCTTACATGGTGTTCCAGTAACTTTAGGTCTGAAGTCCCTTGCCTTCGCCTAGAAAGCCCCCAGTGACTTCAGACCTAAAATTACCCTACCTCCACATCTTATTTCTTGCCTCTCTCCACTCTCACATTCTGTGCCACTTGTATTGAATGTATTTCAGTTTCAGTAATATTCTATACTCCTTCATCACTGGACCTTTACTCAAGTTCTTTTCTCTACCTGGAAGGGGCACTCTTCTCTCACCCGTTTATTTGCATAGTTTAGTCTTAACCATCTTTCAAGTCTTAGATTAGATGCCATTTCCTCCAGATCACCTTCCTAGATCAGTAGTCCTACCCTATTCCAACCCTTTATCTATCTTCCCATAACACCACATACTTAGCTCACCAGAACACTTGCATGCTGCATTGGAGTTGGTGGCTACCTGCTACAGCCTTAGCTTTATGAGAAGTTACCATATCTATCTTTTGTCAACATTAATCCCCAGGCACTCTGCATAGTACTTGGCTGATAAGTACATAATAGATATTTACTGAATGAATGATGTATAGCTATTTAAAGAACTTCAGTAAAATGTTGAAGATACACAGAGAAAATGCCATTTCTAAAATGTATAACCAAAGTAGCATTTTCCAAGGGAAATTGGGTTTGTCCACATGTAACAGAAGCCACAAAATTGGGTGTAAGATTATCTAGTCCAGTCCACTTTAAAAATAAACCTCAGACCCAGAGGAGGGAAGTGTCTTCTCAAGGTTAGCTGACAGAGGCGTGGCAGAGTTAAAACTAGAACACATTTCTCTTGATTGAGGGATTTTGTGTGTTGTAAGAAAGAGAAATAGAACGTGCCACTGACCTTGTTGCAAAAGCTGAATTGGAAGTGTGGACTAATTGCAGTTATTTGGGAGGAGCCCCAAAGAACACCTTGAGTTGTTCATGAATTAGTACTCTTTCATTCAGCTCAAAAAACGTAAGAAATTGATCATATGACACGGGCTTATGCTCAGAATCTAGCCTTAAAAGGCTAGATTCTGAGTTCTGTTTGGAAGTTATGAATGGGGCACAGTTTAAGGAAGAATTCTCTAATAGAGCTACCTAAAAATCCTGTCTGCCTCCGAGAGTAATGAAACATAGTAGGTACTTAGTAATGCTGTTATGTGCCAGGCTCTGTTATGTACATTGTTTTTAATGCTCAGAACTACCCTGCAGGTAGGTATTATAATTTCCATTTTAGGTTGAGGAAATTGAGGCTCAGAAAGGTCATACGGCTAGTAAGTGGTGGAACTGGGATTTAAACTCAGGTATGTCTGACTCCGAAGCTTATTCCCATCCCTGCTCCCACTAGGTCATACTAGTAAGTATACTAGTAAGTACCCCCAAAATTGTCCCTGCAAAGACTTTTACCCATTTGGTTGATTCGTAACGGGTGGACTCAAGCACTAGAATGAAGATTGGATGGAGATGACCCTTAAGGCCCTTTTAATAGATCTGTTGCTTTTGTTATATTTCATAAATGTAACTTTCCATATGTACGGATACATGTGTATGCAGGTATGGTGATACTGCGTTGAATTTTTATTTCATCTTTCCCGTTCACCTTCTGGTATTCAAATTGATCCTATTTTAAACATGAACCTTTGCTTAAACGCTTACTGGGCAGCAAACTGGACAATCCAGAAAGGAGCCCCTAATATATGCCTTTACCTTGCCCTTAAGCGAGGAGCCTATGCACTAATTCTTTACTGGGCCATATCCTAATTCTTCAAGAAATCATTCATCAGTTCCTACCCTTTGCCTCCTCTGCCCTCCAGCACCATATTTTCAGCACCGTAAGAAATTGCAAACTTAAGGTGCCTGGCTGGCTTAGTTGGTTAAGCATCCGACTCTTTGTTTCGGCTCAGGTCATGGTCTCAGGGTTGTGAGGTTGAGCCCTCTGTGGGGCTCTGCACTGGGCACGGAGCCTGCTTAGGATTCTTTCTCTCCCTCTACCCTTCATGCTTAATGCTTGTGCTCGCTCGCTCTTTTTCTTAAGAAAAAAGAAAAAAGAAAAAAAAGAAACTGCGAACTTATGGACTTAGCCTTTTCTGTTCCTTCATCCTATCAGTTTAATCATTTAACAGACATATATTGAAATGCTTATTAGAATACATAGTCAAATAAGACACGGTCCCTGATGTCCACAGACCCCACCCACCTATCCCAGATGGGAGAGATTTAAGAATGCTAAAAGAGGAAAGAGCCACTTGAAAGCAAGAGATTGAAGATACAGATTGTGTCTCCTTGATATATTCTAGGACATCTCCTTAGGAAGTCAGGTGAGTGGGCTAGAGGAGGTATCTATAAAAAGAGACAAGGAGGAAGGATACCATTTACATCGTTTCACGGGCTTTATCAGACTTTTGTTGAGTTATACATTATAGGTATGACCTAATCACCGGTGGATTAAAGGGTACACGGGCTTCATTTAAGTAAATTCCTTCATGAAAAAGGACTCTGGAAGCAATAGTAGCAATTACAGTTGTGTTTTGTTTTGTTTGTTAAAAAGTAGTACCTTTTTCGTACAAGAATGGCTATTCTAACCCCGCTGGCTGTGTGCTGATTCTGATTCTTCTTCTCTATCTTAGCAGATCTGTTTAACAATCTACAACATATTTGTGAGGTAGTTGGCCTGATTAAGGGACAGTCAGAATTAGAAGTATCAAGTTTCTGGAATATTGTAGGGTTGGTGCCCCTTTTTAAAAGTAAAAATAGAACAAACAGAAACCACAAAGGAAACGTGAATAGAAGTCTTGTTTGGGAATTGCACAATTTGCTCCTAAGCTTAATATATTTAAGTATTCATAGATATGAAAGCCTGTTTTAAGCAGGGGTACATTTTGAGGGGGGAACATTATATTGTATACTATATATTCTTTTCATGCAGCTTACTTATTTAGTATACTAACTTGCCTGTGAAATTTGATTGACCTAGTCAGGTGAATCCGTCTAGTATTTGCAATAAACTTACTTACCCTCATAAGGATTTTGTATAGTATCTAGAAATATGTTCATTATTTAGAGAAAGCTGATTTCTCTTATAAATATCCAAGTCTTAGTAGTTGCAAATCCAAGTGGAGATGCATCCTCAGGGCTTATATTTGACTTGTTTCTCGGCCTCTGGGAGAGATCCTTAGCTGTGTGCTTTGTAATATTGGCCCTTTTCTTAAGGTATAAAAAACACATCTTTTAATGTACAGTCTGAATTGGAGTAGTCTTTGAATTCAAAATTGTCTTCATCCTCAATCCATGACATCCAGGTGCATGACTAAGTTAACTATGAGATTGTCTCAGAAGCCGTTTATTGTACATATACTACGTATCGATGGATAATAACTGTAATAGGATTTTATTGCTTCTGCTTTTGAGTTTTAATTGGTATCCTTCTTTGTGCGTAGGTGTCGTTTCAGCCAAATGTTGCATCCAATTTTTGAGGAAGCTTCTAATGTCATTAAGGAAGAATATCCCAATGAAAATCAAGTAGTGTTTGCCAGAGTTGATTGTGATCAGCACTGTAAGTACCTCAGTAGGAAGTCTGGAAGAAATCGTCCTATCCCCACCTCTCCCCACCTCTCCTGCTATACACACAAACACACACACTCACTCTCATTCTCTTTTCTCTTTTAATGCTAAAAAATGTTTTGCTTTAGATGGAAGGTTCTAGTGACTTTGGATAAATATTAATATTTTATTTTTATGTACTTATAATACTACTTTGCATTTTGCCTGCAAAGTAATTACTTTTTAAAATTAAAATATAGTAGAATAAGCATATAGGTAGTAAATCATAACTAGCAATGTTTCTGCCAAAGTGAATACCAAAATCAATAAATAAAATTGAAATAAAATTTTAGGGAAAAATGGATTTCTGTTAGATCTAGCATCCTCCAAAAATACTATTTGTCGTCATTGCAGATGAAATTATCTCGGATTTTTGTGTTTCTGTTATTTGAAAGATTCTACTAAAATTGACTTAGACTGTCTTTGAGGTATAATTAGCTGTAGTTACAGATTAGAGTTACTGAGAGTGTTGAGAAGCTTAGGATAGACTCAGGGATAGTCCAGCCTCTTGGGTTTCTCTGGTCCCAGTGGAGTGTGGTTTTCGTATGCATGACAGATCTCACTAGCTTGAGCTGGTGAGCCTGCGGCGGTTTTTCCTCCTGGTGCGTCCATCACACGTGAACTCTCCTCTCTCCTGGTACCAAACTGACCATGTTTTGCGGTTCTGGTTCATGTGTGTTAGTTGTCTCACCTGTTGCAATGTCAGTTCTTCAAAGTCAGGAACTTTTTTCTTTTTGTTTTTTTTTTTTTTAGTTCTAATTCTCCCGTTTAAGTGGAGACCAAACCATTCATCTTGAATCTCATGCATCTGACAATTTCTGGGAGACAGAGACTGCTTGTTAAAAGCTTGTTGCATTGAGTTACTGGCAAGGTGGCCTGAATACAGAACTCTCCATACTGCACATTTCTTACACTTTGCTCTTGGCCTGATGATTAGAATTAGTATGTGTGTGTGTGTGTACACTGACTTTTCATTTTACTGATGAGAAATGGAAGTGACTTAACCACTGTCAGACAGTTTAACATCTAGTCAAACCAGAATTAGAATCCACATCTCCTGACCAAATACCTTCACACACCCATTACTTTCTTTTCTGTTCAGGTTAAACATTTGGTGGGGGTTACTGGTACAGAAATGCTTAACAGCAAAACATTTCAGTATTTTACAAACCGTAGCCCTCATTTCTGCCTTTTGGGATTCATAACTAGATAAGATGAAGGGAGCAGTAAAAGTTGTCAGTACAGTCATGGACTGCGTTTTCACATTTTCATGCTGTGCTCTGGATCATTCCTCCCACTTTTCACTGGCAGAGATGGTGTTTTTGGTGTGGGCTCTCATTTCACATCTTTCTGTTTTTTATGTATTTAAATTAGACATTACAGTATAGACAGTAGTCCCTAACTTTCAGTGAATTTGGACCATAAAATCTGAAACTGTACTCTCAAACTTATAGTCATTGGGAAGACAAATTAACTATTGTTGAACCATAAATATCATTTGTTCTTATTTTTAAACAAATTAACTTCCTTTAATCAGGCTCTCTTTTTGTGGGAGTAAACATCTATAGTTCAGATGCTTTTTGATCCATGAGAGATCTATAAAATTAATTTTTTACTAATGAAAGTTATATCTGAGACATAGTATAATCTCTTTAAATATTTTATCCCTTCTGTGTAATTCTTCATTTTTAAAAAGTGATATTATGAAGCCGTATCGGGCTCTCTGCTCAGCAGGGAGCCTGCCTCGCCTTCTCTCTCTGCCTGCCTCTCTGCCTACTTGTGATCTCTCTCTTCCTGTCAAATAAATAAATAAAATCTAAAAAAAAAAAAAAAGTGATATTATGAAGCCCTTATTGATAATTTAGTCACATTTTCCACTCTCTCTTTAGAGATTGTAAGACACAGTGGCCCCTGCGTCACTCCTTAGATACCAGTTGGAATGCAGAGGTTTTGAACTGGAAGCTCCTTAAGAATCCTGTGGTCTGGGGAGAAACATCTGTTAGGCAGGTCGTTCTTTGGTAGGATTTGTTTCTTTTTAAAAGGAGATTTATTGAGATATAATTAAGATAAACTGCACAAGTTTACATTACACAATTTAATGTTTGAAACACGTATACACCTGTGAAGCCATCACCACAATCAAGATAGCATATCTGTCATTCCCCAAATTGTTCTTAGTCCCTTTCTGGTCCCTTTCTCCTCCCATCAGTCTCAGGGGACCATGGAACTGCCTTTTGTTCTTAGAGCTTAGTTTGCATTTTCTAGGATTTTATGTAAGTGGGATCATATGCTGTGTTGTGTGTGTGCGCGGTGGTGTTTTTTTACTCGGCTTGGTTATTTTGAGATGATTGTGCATATCGTTCATGTTTGTTACAGAGTGGCAGTCTGTTGTATGGCTCTGCACCGTAGTTCTCTTATACCCTTATTGACGGTTGGGTTGTTTACAGTTTGGGCTATTACAAATAAGGCTGCTATAAACATTGAGGTACAATTCTTTGTACATATGCTTTCATATTTTCTGGGCATATACTTAGCTGTGAAAAACCTGGGTCGTATGTTAGTTTATGTTTAACTTTGTAATAAACTGCCAAACTGCTTTCCAAAGTATTTGTACTGTGTTACATATCTATTAGCAGAGTAGACGCATTCCATTTGTTCCCTATCCTTGCCAACACTTGGTATGGTCAGTCTATTTAATTTAACATGGCTGTTAAATGATGAGCAGGTATAAGAATTTCTTATTGGGTTTTGAGAGCCCTTTATATATTACAAATGTAAGTTCTTTTTCAGGTGTGTAATTTGCAGATATTTTCTCTCATTCCCCTCTCTTAAGAATGTCTTTCTTTTTAATTGTGGTAAAATCCACAGAATATAAAATTTGCCATTTTTACCATTTTTAATTGTGCAGTTTTGTAGCTTTAAGTCTATTCACATTGCTGTACAACCAGTCTCTAGAACTTCATCTTGTAAAGCTGAAAACATTGCACTTATTAAACAACTCCCCATTTCCCCCACCCCCCAGCCCCTAGCTACCACCATTTTACTTTTTATTTCTATGAATTTGACGACTCTAGATACCTCACATAAGTGAAATCATTCAGTATTTGTTTTTGTGTCTGGCTTATTTCACTTACCATAATGTTAATGTCCTCAAGGTTCAGCCATGTTGTAGTATGTGTCAGGATTTCCTTCCATTTCAAGGCTGAATAGTATTCCATTGTATGTTATATACCACATTTTTTATACTCCCTCATCTGTTGATGTACACTTGGGTTACTTCCACCTCTTGGCCATTGTGAATAATGCTATGAAATATCTCTTTGAGGCTTTGCTTTCAGTTCTTTTGGATATAAACCCAGAAGGAGAATTGCTGAATCATACGGTAATTAAATTTTTTGGTTTTCAAGGAACTGCCATACTGTTTTCCCGAGTAGCTATCCCAATTTTACATTCCCACCAGCAGTGGACAGGGGGTTTAGTTTTCCCCACATCTTTGCCAACACTTGTTATTTTCTGTTTTTGTGATCACAGCTGTCCTAAGGTGTGTGAAGTGCTACTTCATCCTGGTTTTGATTTGCATTTCCCTGATTAGTAACATTGAGCCTCTTTTCCTATGCATGCTGGCCATTTGTATATCTTTTTTAGAGAAATATTCTGTTTGAGGCCTTTTCCCTGTTTTTAATCTGGTGAATTTTTGTTGTTAAGTCATAGGAGTTCTTTATGTATTGTATTCTGGATATTAACCCCCATTAGATAAATGATTTGCAGTTACTTTTTCCCATTCTGTTGATTATATTCTTTGCACAGAAGTTTTGTTTTGTTTCATTTTAAGATTTTATGTATTTATTTGAGAGAGAGAGAGTGTGTGTGTGTGTGAGAGAGAGATTACGAGCAGGTAGAAGGGATAGAGAGAGAAGCAGACGCCCCATTGAGCAAGGAGTCTGAGCAGGACTCAATCCCAGAACTCTGGGATCATGACCTGAACTGAAGGCAGACACTTAACCAACTGAGGCCCCCAGGGTCCCCAGAAGTTTTAAGTTTTGATGTCCAGTTTATCTTTTTACATTTGTTGCCTATGCTTTTGGGGTCCTAGTCAAAAATCATTGCAGATCCAATGTTCTGGAACTCTTCTACATTTTCTTCTTAGAGCATTACAGTGTAGGTTGTTATGTTTAGTTTTTTTATCCATTTTGAGTTAATTTTTGTGTAGAGTGCAACATAAGGATCCAATTTCATTGTTTTGCATGTGGACATCCAGTTTTCCTAACACCATTGGTTGATGAGAGTATCTTCTCCCCACTGAATGATCTTAGTACCCTTCATCAATAAACATTTGACCACATGTGTGAAGGTTCGTTTCTGGACTCTGTTTTGTTCCATTTGTCTGTATGTCTGTCTTTGTAGCAGAACCACGTCTTTTTGATGACTATAGCTTTATACTGAGTTTTGAAATTAGGAGGTGTGAGACCTTCAGTTCTGTTTGAGAGTGTCTTTTGAAGGCCATATATTCTTAATTTGATGAAGTCCAACTTACTTATTTTTAAAATGGATTATGCTTTTCATGCTGTATCTAAGAAATCTTTGCCTCACCCAGGATCTCAGAGATTTTCTGGTATGTTTGCTTTCATAATTTTCGTAGTATAAAGTTTTACATTTTGCTCTCTGATCCATCTGGAGTTAATTTTTACATGTGGCACAATGTATGGATTGGAGTTCATTTCTTTGCATATAGTTATCAAGCTGTTCTGATATTATTTGTTGAAAGGACTATTCCTTCTTCATTGACTTTGCATCTTTTTCAAAATCAGCTGACTGTATAGGTGTGGATCTATGTCCAATCTGTCTGTTCTGTACTATTGGTGTGTTTATCTGACTGATTTGTCTGTGTTTATACTGGTACCACACTTTCTAGATTACCATAGCTTTATAAGTCTTGAAGTCAGTAATATATAA